AAAAAAAAAAAAAAAGCAATTGAAGGGCTACAGGCCAAATATGACCCACCAGTGTATTTTGTAATCTTGGTAACCTTCTGTGCACCTCACTTAGCATATCTGGCGAATGGGTATATGATGTTACTCCCTTCCATGGGCTTTTGGGAAGATAAAATGAGGTCATAAGAATTCAGGACACAATGAACATTTGTATATCTAACCCTGAATTGTACCCCACAATTTCAAAATAAAAATTAAAAGAGAAAAAAAAGAGAGAGTGTTCAGGACAGGGTATGCAGTTGGCAATTAATGATGACTGTGATGACAGTGATGGTTCTCAGCAGGGCCCATGGCGGACACCCAGTACATCCTGCCCAATGACATCGGCGTGTCTAGCCTGGACTGCCGCGAAGCCTTCCGCCTGCTGTCACCCACAGAGCGCCTCTATGCCCACCACCTGTCGCGGGCCGCCTGGTACGGAGGCCTGGCCGTGCTGCTGCAGACCTCCCCTGAGGCTCCCTACATCTATGCCCTGCTTAGCCGCCTCTTCCGCGCCCAGGACCCTGACCAACTGCGCCAACATGCCCTGGCCGAGGGCCTCACCGAGGAGGAGTATCAGGTCAGTTCTCTCAGGCGGGTGGAGGGACACTTGAGGACATGCTGTACAGCCTTAGGGAAGTCAATTAACCTCTTAGCCTCGGTTTCCCCAACTTTACAGTGGGGAGACTGATGATGCCTCAGGGTTTTTGCAAGAATTAAATGAGATCCGAGGCTAGGCATGGTGTTGTGTACCTGTAATCCCAGCTACCTGGAACCCGGCCACATGTCCTGAGTGTCTTCTGGATGTGACACACCAGGATGAAAGGGTATAAATGTCTCTCTCTCTCTTTCTGTTTTTTTGAGTTGGACTCTCATTCTTGTCGCCCAGGCTGGAATACAGTGGCACGCTCATGGCCACCAAAGCCTCCACCTGCTGGACTTAGGCGATCCTTCTGCCTCAGCCTTCCAAGTAGCTGGAACTACAGACACACTAACTAACCACATTCGGCTAGTTTTTGTGATTTATTGTAGAGATGAGATTTCACCAAGTTGCCCAGGTTGGTCTTGAGCCCACGGGCTCAGGCAATCATCTCACCTCAGTCTCCCAAAGTGCTGAGATTACAGGCTGAGCCACCATGTCCAGCCTCTCTCTCTCTTTCAATGGGGTAGGGAGAGGGTAGACCAAAGCTTAAAAATTCAGGAACCTCTCTTCCTGGAGCATCAGCCTTCTCAGCTATAAAATATGCGTGTGGGCTGTTTGTACCTCTTAGCCCTGTGATGACCCACTTAGAACCGTGTCTGACTCCCAGAGAAGTGGTAGATGCTGTGATCATGACAAAGGAAACAGTGGTGGAGATTCAGAGGAGGCAGAGGAATGAATTTGGGGTAGGAATCAGGAGGTCTGAGTTCTACACTAATCCTCTACACATTGTGGTAGAATGTTCTTCCTGTCTCCTGGTTTGTGTTTGTGGAGCTATTGGATAAGTAATACATGAATTCTTAGCACAGTCTAAAGGATGAAGTCTTGCCATGTTCCCCAGGCTGATCTCGAACCCATGGGCTCAAGCAATCCTCTCTCCCCTGCTTCTTTCTTTTTTTAGTTGGAGTCTCACTCTGTCGCCCAGACTGGAGTGCAGTGGCCGCTCCTGGCCACCATAGTCTTGACCTGCTGGGCTCCGGCGATCCTTCCGCCTCAGCCTTCCAAGTAGCCGGAATTACAGGCATGCGCTACCAACACCCGGTTGATTTTTTGATTTATTGTAGAGATGAGGTCTCGCTGCCCAGGCAGGTCTCTAACCCGTGGGCTCAGGCAATCCACTCACCTCAGCCTCCCAAAGGCGCAGGATTACAGGCTGAGCCACCGAGCCCGGCTCAGTCTTTATTTCCTTACTCCAGGAGTGGACCTCTGGGGACCCCAGTGTAAGATGGAGGCTCTTTGCCAATGGAAAATTTCTTTTTTTTTTTTTTTTTTTTTTTT